ACAAACACTGGTTGGACTCAAACGCCACGATCCCAAATCATTAATTTCTACCCACACCGAAACCAAACAGCACCTGTTTGATTGGAGCAACACAAAAATCATTGGCCATATTACCACCTTCCATGCTCATAAGTAGATTGAAGCCTGGCACTCCACAAGCAATTTCATCAACAGATACATTGACCTACAAACAGTCTACAAACCCTTCCAAATCCAAATCAACTGTACAGCCAACTAGAGACAGAAACTGACCCTCAACTAACCCACGCAAGCCCCCCACAACCAGCTCTTCACCTCCCAATGAGCCTCACCTTATGTAACCTCTTATCATAGGACCCATCATAAGATTCTCACTGATGATTCACAGCTGACCCATCACAAGAGGCATTACAGGACCCTCACTTGACACACCCACACCTGAAGCCCTTATAAACAGAATAACACTGGCATCTCCTTTGCTGAAGACGTTACTTAATCTGGTAACAAAACGTTCAGAAACCAACCCACAAGCTCAGAGAATGAACCTTCATCCGTACACCTAAATAATCTAATTTACAAACAATATAAGCATGATTCACTGTCTTTAGTGACAGTGAATTTGTCCCATATCTGTTGCTTCTGGATGTTATCTATTAGTCCTGCTCTTTTGTTTATTTTCTTTCTGGAGTATTGCTTCCCAATTCTTGTGTGGACAAGATTTGATAAAACTGTCATTGGCTGAGAAGTAGCCAGTCATTGTTCTAATTCTCTGACTTTTTTTCAAGAACAGTTAAAGGCTTGTAGTTGCAGCAACCAATGCCAAATCACTCTCAGTTAGGAAGTTGAGCACGCCATAAGCTTGACAGCCATGTCTTGTTCACCCATATTAACTGTTTTTTAAAGGAACAAACACTGAAGATTCTTTTTTATTTCTTATTGTTCCCATCTTGGGCTTTTTGATAGTGTTACTGTTCACTTAGAGAGAAATTTCATTAGGAACTTGCCATTGAACTTCATAGATAGAGATAGATAGATAGATAGATAGATAGATAGATAGATAGATAGATAGATAGATAGATAGATAGATAGATAGATAGA